TTATTTTGAGGCACCTGGTAAAGAATTTTTGCTTAACACAAGTCATAAAACAAGACAGAGTATTTCCATTTATTTTACAAGCTGGATGATACCAAGGACAACCTCTACTTGATATTTTATGTTTTACTCAGTGCAAACACTTTTATCTATTTACAGTTTTAATGAAAAAAATTCTCTAGTATAAAATAAACAATAAATATGCCTTGATGGTTTATTATATATGCAGTACTCTAAAGTGTTATATAAAATATTATGGAAAAACAAAATTTTGCCCCACAAGGAATTTACAGTTCTCACCTTTAATTAAGACAAAAGTGGCCACCTATAACAAAATTACGTACTAAGTTATATTGACTGTAAAATAAATTTATCTATTCTATCTATCTATCATCTATCTAATCTGTCTACCTGTCTGTCATATAATCACTATTTGAGGTCAATAGAGAAAGCAATAATTATTGATTATATTTGCATATTATTAGAGTGTTAGATTATATAACTCATACCATCAGAGACTTTGCTTCCACTTGAACTCTTCCCTCAACTTAACTTTTTCCTTACACTGCCTCCTTTTCCCTTCTGCCTCCAGAAACTTGTGAAACGGTCACTCCTAGCTTAACAGCTTCCTTCAAACTTGTTAGTCCTTTTAGCTATAAACTTACTTACTACCTTTCACTATGAGGCTTATCGAAAGTTAGATTTTTGTTGGCTGTCTCATAGTTCTGTCCGTGCTGAAAAGTCTCTGAAGTGTGACTCGTAACTCTCCATGCTTTAAAGAAAGTAGCCTCCAAAATCATCCAAAGACTGACATTCACAATCAGTACAGTATACTACATGCACATTATTATTATCTCTCTGATTCATTTGAGATGCTTGACAACTCCTTCTTCCCATCCCCCTAAAGTCTTACCATTCTCCATTCCTCACTACTGCAGAAAGGGCACGATATTTGTAATTAGATAGCTTTGAGTTTTGACTCTGATTCTTACCTCATACAGAAATAAGTCACTAAGAATCTCTGGGCTGTAATTCTCATATTATTATTGTTATAAAGACATACTATTAGTACTTCAAAAGAATGTTTTGAGGGTTAAATCTAAAACGTATGTGGTGGCCCTTTTTGAAACTTCTACAAAATCACAATTTTTTTTACTGGAGTTTACTCCTATTTAATAACTCTTCTTTTCTTACTATTATCCTTCCTTCTTTCATCACATTACACAAAGTACTTCTCCCAAATAAGTTGCTCATTTTCCTCTTCACTGTCATCCTCAGATTTCATTACAAATATCTCTCTTCTGTACTTATGACTTTGAGGTCATTGTATCTTCTCCTGTCCTTCTACATAGTAAAAAAAATAAAAAGCCCGTTGCCGTCGAGTCAATTCCAACTCATAGCAACGCTATAGGACAAAGTAGAACGGCCCCATAAAGTTTCCAAGGAGTGTCTGGTGGATTCAAACTGTTGACCTTTTGGTTAGCAGCTGTAGCACTTCACCACTATGCCACCAGGGTTTCCTTCTATATAGTATCTTTTGTCAAATATGTTACACAAATAAGGGAAAATTTTTAGTATGATTTTTCCTGTCCTTTGGATACGTTTTTCCTATTAACATTGTGTAATGCAGATTTTATGATTCCAAAATTTGAATAGGAAAAGTTAGATATAAGGATTAGAAAACAAAAAAAATGATATGTAGGAAGAAATAAAAATATAATCATTTTTGCCTCTAGAAGTATATTTATATATATGTGTATATGTATACTTATATGTATAATTTATTTAAACTATAAATTATTCATTGTTCTGCCTATATTTATCTCTTTGAGAAAGCTACCACACTGGTCCTGCTTAGAAGCTTTTGAGATAAGGGACTTGATACTAAATGGTGGGGAGGTAGAGAAGATTCTTACAGTAAAGCAACTCCACAGAGGTAAAACCAATTTCTAAATAAAAACAGGAGAAGATTGCCCACATAAATCACAGAATCTCTGTGCCTATTTGATGTGGGCCCTTCATCGTGGTTTCTCAGGCAGCTGCCATTTTCCCTTAATGGCTTTAAAGAGTCCAATCTTTCTTCTTTTAGATATACCTACAAATGTTAACAGACTAGGTAAAGTACATATCATTTTGGATATTAAATAACTGCAATCCCAAAACATACTCCCATGAGACAAAACAGGAATATGTTGATTCTTTCACGAGGTCATATCCTGATTCCCTTTATTCTGGTGGATAGCCAGTTATTCAAGCTAAACAGTACTCTCCCAATGATCAAATCCTAGTGAAAGCAATATTTTATTTAAATATTTGTAATTATAATATTTTAGTAAAAAAAATCGAATTAAGCAATCCAAAGCTAAGGACTATGACAATAGGAAGATCTACTCAAACCATGTATTTTAATTTTTGTAAAGTTTATTTTGACATTAACTTATTTTCACAAAATGCCAAGTAAATTTTCATATCTACTTTTTCCTTTTCCTCTGTGTCTTCTTTCTTCCCCTTAGTATATTTCTCTTTCTGTTATTCCTTTACAGCTGCTGCGTAACATGTCTGATCACGGGTTTCAGAGATGCTCATCTTCTTTTTGGAGTAGTAGTGATGATTCATCTCCCTATCTAAATAGTTCTTCCATTACTGTCATTCCTCTCAACTCGCCTGATTCCAGACTATCAATGGGACTGTTAATACCACCACCTTCTAAATGCGGCCTTCCCAAGCCAATCAGTGAGAACAGCATCCCAAGACCTCATGTAATTTGCTGAGCAGAAACTCTTTTATTATTGACATGTTTTTGGTTTTTGTTTGTTTATTTTGCTTTTTTTTTTTTTTTTTCCTGCTGATCATGCCATTTATATAGTAATTTAAAAATATGGTATGCCTGAAAGTCTTGAATCAACATGATGTGATCTGGAGTCTTTGTGTGCCATTTTTGTTTCCTTTGGATACCTGATATATTCAAATAGGGAGTGGTGATAGTATACAAGTTCACCAAAAAAAGACGAAATAGGACAAATACTTTAATGAGTCCATCAGATGTTGCAGTTGTGAAATTTGCTTATCAGAAATATTGGTAAAGGCAGATTCAGTATAGTTCAGTGCGAAATGAGCAAAGTCTAGATTGATATGAGTTGAGGACTGAATGGAGTAGAAGTTGGGACAAGAAATGTACTGCCTCTTTCAAGGAGCTTAGGTTTGAAGGCAAGAGAAAGAGAAGAGAGTGACTAGAGGAATAAAGAAAGAGGAACACAGTAAGGAAATGTTGGTTGGTATTAGTTTTTAATGACAGTCGAGATCTGAGTATCTTTATATCCTAAGAAAGAGGAGAGAAATGGAAATCAGAGGATAGGATGATTAGGAGAACAGCATTCCCGAGTAGGTGGAAAGAGGTGAACGAAAAAGTTCCTTTGAAGTCTTTGGATAGTTTTTATGACTGATAAAATAAAGAAATTGTTAAAGAAAAGGAAGATGACATTAATTTTCCTGCATGGAAAAGATGTACCAATAATTATTTTAATTGGATAGCAAATCTGTCACAATCAGCCTTATTTCTCTTAATCTCCTGCATCACCTGTTGAATTAGAAAAAGTAAATGTATTCTGAGAACTCTAATTTTAATATGAACCACTACGTGCTTATAGGAAAAGCAAATTTTTCCTGACTATTTTCCTCTAAAATAGAAATTTACTTTCTTTTATTGCCGATCAGATCAGATGGTTTTCATAGGCAAAATTAATACCCCTCCATCTGATAATCGAAGTGGTGATTTTTTTTCATTCTTACATTATTTCTTGGCTACATACTCATGGACTTTGTATTTTTCTTTCCTTTTATTGGTTCAGCCCAGATAACTCAATGATTTTGGTGGCACATTTAGTGATTGTTAGTTTCATGAGATAGCTGTATATTTTTAAAAACTTGATGGAATCTTATTCTAGGAATAAAAAGCAATGTAGTGAATATAATAGTTGTTTGTCATTGTAGTTATAAATGCAAATTGAAATATACTCTCCTTTTGAATATTAAAAAACTAGTCATCTATTGCATTTGAATTGTTATATCTGAGAAGGTGGGTCATTCATTATTCAATTATTTCTGTTTAAAATTTATAATCTTATGCAAATTATATCACTGAAATTAATTTTTTATACAAATCGTTTCTAACATACTTCCAATTCTCTGATATCAATAGCAATTATCTCTAAAAGAACAAAAAATCCAGTATATCTTTGTTATAGATTGAATTGTGTCTCCCAAAAATGATGTCACCTTGGCTAGACCATGATTCCCAGTATTGTGCGGTTGTTCACAATTTTGTGATCTGATGTGATTATCCTATGTGTTGTTAATCCTAACCTCTGATGTTAATGAGGCAGGATTAGAGGCAGTTATGTTAATTAGGCAGGACTCAATCTCTACAGGATTAGGTTGTGTCTTGGGTCAATTTCTTTTGAGATATAAGAGAGAGAAGCGAGCACAAAGGAGAGGGACCTCCTACGACCAAGAATGAAGAACCAGGAGAGGAGTACGTCCTTTGGACCTGGGATCCCTGCACTGAGAAGCATCTAGGCCAGGGAAAGATTGATGACAAGGGCCTTCTCCCAGAGCCAGCAGAGAGAGAAAGCCTTCCCCTGGAGCTGGCATCCTGAATTCAGACTTCAGCTTCCTAGATTATGAGAGAATAAATTTATCTTTGATAGAGCTATCCACTTGTGGTATTTCTGTAATAGCACTCAGTATAGCCCTTTTTTCCATCATCTTTGGAGAACATTTCTGCAGAAATTGCCCAAGGCTTTCTTGCTGGTGAATAGTTTGGCATAACAGCTTGAACCATATAAATTCGCCTATATTTAACTCTCTGTGATCTATAAGATGGCAAGTTAATTTGATTCAACCAAATTTGTTTTGTTATGTATGTCTTATATGTATATGAAATATTTAAAATTATAATGTGTCTACATGAAATAATTCCCTAATTTATATTATCTTCATTTCAGGCAGGCAGTGTGACACCTATGTCACCCTCCACGGACATCTTTGATATGATTCCATTTTCTCCAGTATCGCCCCAGTCTTCAATACCTACTCGCAATGGCACACAGCCACCTCCAGTACCTAGTAGATCTACCGAGATTAGTAAGCTTTGTCAACAAATTAATATTTTCTTGCTATATTCATGTATATTTTAACATTCTAATGACTATGCAGAATTGTATATCTTAAAAAGCTTGCTAACAATTTTAATTATTAGAATATAACTAAGTTTTTGTATATATGTCAAATTCATTAATTCTATTTCACTTTATAATTCAGAGTATAGTACTGAAGATATCACTGTTTGCAATTTGAGCCTATTTTATGGAAAAAAAATGATGTTTTGGTATGTTCATTTACATTATAATGCAAAGCATTTAATTACACTTTCATTGAGTTGTGAGTTATATTTTTATATTTAATTTTAGCTAATCAAAAGAACTCTAGTAGTAATTATTTTAATTATTTTTGACATGTTCAACAGTGTTTGGTTTTAATATTTTTATTAGATTATATTTATGTTCTAAGTTAAAGACATGTATAAATCTATATATTTTATGATTTTTTTTTTAATCCTATGTAAGTGATTTTTTGATATCTAAAATGCTATAAAAGACATTTTTTTTCTGTTTTACCTTCTATTTATCTAGAAGGAACATAAAACTCTCTTTGATGGATTAGAAAGCATACAAAAAATGCTCATTTTCATTGTCTTGGCTGCATTTTGATTTGTGCTGTGTCATAGAAGCTGTAAGAATAGTTCCCAATGGACGTGTTCAGTCATTATGACTAAAGAGAGTTTTTTTTTTAATTTTTATTTTTTATGCTGTATTGCATCCTCTCTAGTTCACGTTAATACATTTTAAATATAACTCTGAAGTTTTAGCTTAAAACTTTAATGCATGGCAGGGCCTATGCTTTATTTTTCCTTGTAGATCTTAACATAGTACATTATTCAAGTTAAATACTCAATAAATTCTAGAATATCAGTTTATAAATACAAAGTAATAGCATTAGATACTTTAAAATCAGTTTATAAAAATATTTCAATACTTTACATAAAGTTGAAATATATTTTTAAATGCCTCTGAAAATATTTTGTTCCAATGCAAAATAATTTTGTCAAGGAAATAATCCATAATATATATGTCATGGTGTGTTTTAGAAAATGTTGCCTGTAACTTGATATCATGATGAAGTATTTTTTGCCCTATGAGTGTTCCCAAATCTCTTTATTTCCCTCCATCTTTTACTTCCTTGGACCTCATCACTGATTCATTCATTCATTCATTTATTCATTCAACAATGATTCCTTTAGCACATGCACTAGAATTGGACTCTATGCTGGAATTTGAAAGGTAAATTAGGAATGTATCCATAATGGAGGATGATAATTCAAGTAGAAATACAAATTGAGAGGAGTGAATAGATCTGAAGATATTTAAGAGGAATGATCTATAAGGCTTGGTGACCAACTCTGTATGGATGGTGATAGGAGGTCAAAATCAATTGTGATTCAAGATTTTAGACAAACTGTTGTTAACAGGGAAAACTAGAGATAGAGAAGGGGAAAATAGTGAGTTATGTTTTAGACATTGATGAGTTTCAAATGCCTTTGGAAAGTCTAGGTGGAGATGGTCAAGTGGTTTTAAGGCATTTATTAATGAAGTAACCCTTTGCTACATTTTTCAATCACTGCACATTCCTGATTATCAAAGTTATTATATATAGCAACATATATATATAACAAAGACTTTGAGGACTAATTTTTCATCTCAATTATAATTGTGAAATTGTCGAAGACTCTAATTCAGTGGGATTATAGTAACAGGACTTTTTCTTTAAATGGACTCTTAAATGTATTCATTTATTTATTTTTCATTATCTACTATATAAATAAAAGCAAATGCCAACAAGTTTGACCCCTTCACTTTTCTCCTTGTTGGCATCTGAGAATACTAGTAGTTCTCCTGGCATATTTTTGATCCCCTGATTTTCACGTCCATTGAATGCTGTGACTTCCCTCTGAATATCAAGCATAAATTAATTTATTTAATAACTATATTTCCTGCTTGACTATAATTTCTATGAGGTAAGGGACTTGGTCCTTCCTTCACTACATGGACCCTTTTCCTAGCAAACTAAGTGGCATATAATATATATTCAATAAATATTAATGGATAAAAGAAAGAATAACTGAGTGAACCACCACCCATTAGTTTTTATTTTTTTGCTTATGCATTATAGACTTAAATAATTTGTAATGTTATTAATTACATTGCAAAACTCTTCATGGAAACTTGGACCTACAGGATATTTTTTCGATACAGATTTTAGACCCATCTGAGCTGACAAAATGGACCAAAAACTCGGTAGTATTTATTAATTTGTCTGAATATATTTGCTTATTATATGCTGTAGTAGTCTCTTAATATTTTGGAGGAGTCATGAAAATCTGATAAAAGTTAGGAATGCTCTTCACAGAAAAGCACACACGTCCACTCATACCAAATTTTGCATTGCATTGCAGGAATTTCAAGAATCCTTTTAAGCCCATCTGAAATCTTTAGTGATTTTTTTATTTTCAATTTGAGAAAACCTATATAATGAAAATCTCTATTTCCTGACCAGCTCTCCTTCCCTTTCATTAGTTCATTACTTTTTGACAAAAACCGACTATGTGTAAAGTACTGTTCAATATGCTGAAAATAGAGTGGCGACTAGGACACAGCTCTAAAAAAATTCCTCTGTTCTCTGAAGTTTGATTTATTAACTGAGCAACATCCACTTGGACTAATACAACAATAATAATACCCATTAGTTATATACAAGGTGACCATAAATTCCCATTAGTTTAGGATGCTCCTGGCTTATACTTATTATCCTGGTTATTTATTAGTAGCATTCCATTTGCTCTTAAAAATGACTTTGGATGATAAATTATATGGTCTTCCTCGTCATACAACACTTACTGTACATCAGCTACTTCTAAGAATTTTACGTGTATTAACTCATTTAATACAAAAATCTAAACAAATAGACAAACAAACAAAAACAGCTATAACTGAAGAAGCAAGAGTCCTCCAGAATGGGACACAGAGATTTTAAAGGAAATAATAGAACAAAGTAGCATAAACAGAATTATTACATAGCACTGAATTTAGAGAATATAAAGTTTCCTGCAAATGAAGATCTGCATACATTATAAATCCCCATACTTATATATAATTTAGAATTTTCTGTCAATTAAAGATGGATTTTAATTGATTCAGAAAAGTCTTAAGATTAAAAAAAATTTCAATCATAGAAAAGGCAGTGCTTTTATCAATTCCAAACATCAATTTTAACTTTGATAATAATTCTTGAGTGATAAAAAGCAGTGTATACTTTCAAATATATGTACAAAGAGGTTTTTGGATAATGCATTACTGCTATCTTTAAAAAGAAATTTATTTCTAGGATAGGAGGCATTTTTAAGAACCTGTCTCATTGTGGTTATCTAGGAAGGTGATAATGATTTCATACTACATGAAATGATATGACTTAAGTTTTTTTCTGGATAAAAAAGTGAGGTAAAAATACATAAACTATGAGTAGGACTACTTATTAATATACTCAGTCCTACATATTGTCTTGCTATTGTGTTACAAAGGCATAAATAAATGGAATTAGAGTATTCTCAGTATGAGTAATACATTAATTTTAGTACATTTAAATTGAATCAATAAATATAGGCATTGTAATCTATTTAGTATCAAATATTTGTCAAATTTACTATTAAGAAGTTCGTCAAAGTTAATTAAAGACACTGAAACCTCTCTGGATAATAATTCTATGTGACAAGTTTTTAATATCATCATAAAATGGATCCTTGCTTCCTTGTTGGTATTTAGTCTAAACTCAGGTAAAATCAAAAAAACAAACCAAGCTCATTGCTGTCGAGTGGATTCCAACTCATAGTGACCCTATAGGACAGAGTAGAACTGTCCCATAGGGTTTCAAGGAGCAGCTGGTGGATTGGAACTGTCAGCCTTTTGATTAGCAGCTGAGCTCTTAACCACTGTGCCACCAGAACTCCCAGCATAAAATGAAAGTGTGGAAAGTGGCTCATTTGGTAATGTAAGGATTTATTTATATAATCCTGCCTTTGAAATCTAATTTACCCGAACTAATGTCTTGAAATTTCATTTACTAAACCATTTTCTTCTTTTTAGAACGAGACCTGTTTGGAGCAGAACCTTTTGACCCATTTAACTGTGGAGCAGGAGATTTTCCTCCAGATATTCAATCAAAATTAGATGAGATGCAGGTGACTGTTTTAACAGACTGGCTGATAAATGGTTTATTTCTTTTTAATCTGGGACAAAGAGAATGGTATACACCAGAAATTCCCTTTCCTTGAATTACTGTCATTATAAAGACATATAATAATGTACATTTAGTCCTAAAAATACTCCTACAGATGTTATGAATGAAGTGTTTTTTTTTTTAACTGTGCATTTTACAATGACAATAAGTTGGTTCATTTCTTACACAAAACAACATGGATTCTAATAGTTCATTATTTTGAAATCCAGAAATTAAAATGTCATTGCACTATATTTATAAGACTTGATCTCAGTCTTGCCATTTATGAATTTCAAAATTGTAAACGGGTAGATGATGGAAAATCTATGTTAATAGTGAAATCATTTTTTCTAAAAAGAAGCATTGTAGCTATAGTTCATAAATTCTGGGTTCTTACTGAAAAAGCAGACACCCAGTGATAACTTGCTTAGGAATGTAATCCACTGGGGTTGTCTCTCTTGCTCTCTCTCTTGCTTTCTTACTGTATCTTATTTTTAAATTCTGAATTGTTCTGGAAGTTTGAAGAAATTGATTTCAAAAGGTTTATACGATGGGCCACAATTAACAAGCTTATAAGCACTAAAATAAAGTCATCTTTTGTGCTTTATTAACCCCTTACATTTTGGTGAAGCTACTATATCCTATTTTACATCAAAAAGATTATGTATGATAGAATCCATACAGAGCCCTATTATATGGAGTTGATTTGGAAGATGCGGTGAAGACACTAAAGTAAGGAGGTATTTCCTTTTATTTAGGACTGGGTTAATACATTCAATCCCTATGTTTCACTTCCTGGGGGAAAAGTATTAAAGGTTGAATTCTTATCTTCTAACACTGGTAAATACACTCTTCCCTGGACTTTAGACTGCAGCTGTGAATCAGACTTACTTTCTAGGTATTGGGTTGTTGTTGTTGTTATAAGGTACCGTCAAGTCGATTTCTGACTCGTAGTGACCCCACGTGACAGAATGGAATTGCCTCATTGGGTTTCCTAGGCTGTACTATGAATCAGAATCAAGTTGGTGGCACACACCAACAATCTTCATGGAAATAGATCACCAAGTCTTTCTCCCGTGGAGCGACTGAGTGTGTTTAAACCGCCAACATTTCGGTTAGCAGCCGAGTGCTTAACTGTTACACCAACACCTCCAGATATTTGTAGGAACCCAGTTTGAGAAACACTGTATTGCAACGATTTAGTGATTTGTTAATCCAATAACATTTAAGCATGGTGATTTTTTTTCCCATTTCTAATGTTAATGTCTTTTTATTATTATTCTTTTCTGCTTTCATGGTGGGTAGCGCCAGAGATGGTTGGTATATTATTTTCATAATAATTTTAAACACATTACAACGTTTTAAAAGCTAAAACCTTATATTTGATGCTTTATTTAAGAAATATTTGAACAGCAGTTTCATATGAATGTCTCTGATTATTAGTTGTGTTTAAGGAGATTTTTTAACCCATATTTTGAAGTTATTTTTCAATGACTTAGTAAATATTGTATTGTTCACCTCATCATTGTCTGTTTCTGTTTGTCCACAATTTACTTGCAAAGTCACTTTAACTAAAGTGAAATAATACTTTTTTAATCTAAAGTCTCTGATGACTTTTGTTATTAATCCTGCTAGCCTAATTAAGCTAATGTATGCATTTAGCTACTATTTTTATCTTTGCATATAATATAAAAACTTAATACTGTATTATGGGTTCTATAAACCATATTGAGTTAATAAGCATTTGCTTTTCTTCTTCATTTATAGAAGATTTTAACTAAAGCTATTTCCAATGGAATTAAATTCTTAAGTTTGAAAATCTCAGAAATGCCTCATGCACATAAGGATTTAATCAGAAATGTCAGACCATATTTCATTATAAATTGTTGGAAAATTTAGGTATTTATTTGACATCAACTAAGTAGTCACTTGATTTGACGTATTTTAAACTGCCTGGTATGTGTCACTGACAGACAAATCAATGGAATAGCATTGATAGCCCAGAAGTGTACCTTGTGGTTTATAATAATTTAATACATTAAAAAAGAAGCATGGCAATTAAATGAAGGATGAAAAAATCATGAATTAAGTTACGTTAAGTCCACTGGTTAATAATTTGGGAGAAGGTCAAGAAGATGAATGTACAGTTGACACTTACAGCAAATACCCAAGTAAATTTCAGAAGCAGTTAAAAATGTTTGAAACATAATTGAATATTCATCATGCTTTTGAACTGGAGGGAAGTTTTTAGAAGGAAAAAATATGGACATAAATCTTCTAAAGCTATGTTTTCTTTGCTCTTTAAACGTACATAAATATATCTCATGTGCATAATTAAAGCAAATATAGAAATAATTATGAAAGTAATCAATAGCTAAATGAAAAAGCAGTAGTTGACAAAAGACCACAGTAGCTAACACATAGACATGTTCAGTCCAATTAAACACAATTAAAAAAAGAAAAACTGTAAATGTCGTTTTAATCTAGCAAATTAGCAAGTTTATATTATTTCTAGTAACCAGGGCAAGGGAAAGTGTGATGAAACAAGAGCTCTAAATCACTGGCATGCCAGGGTCATTACATAGCATCCCTTTGTAAAATAATGTGGTATTGATACTTGTATTTCTGTTTGATATTGAATGCTTTAAAATAATCTATTCTGAGGAGAAAATCATTATTAATGTGGAAAAATCTCTATGCATAAAAACATCTGTCCAAACTTATTTGTAATTGTAAAACACTGGAAACCAATGCATAGTTTTAAAAATCAATAGATCATTATGTAATCATTGAAATTAATGTTATCGTGACTCAACATGAAAAGTTGGTTCTGCTAAGATGAAACAAAGAAGATAAAATATATTATGTAATACTACATAAATAATTATATAAGGCGGTCCCCGGATTATGAACATCCGATTTCCAGACAACTCATACCTGCTCTTTAATCTTATATAAATTTGCCCTCACTTTGAAACAATTGAACTAACACCGCCTCGCAACAAATTCTTCATCACAATCACCTTTGCTTGCTGCTTGTGCAGTTTTAAATCACTTAAAAGGTTTTTTCAAGCATTTTCTTCCACTAAAAAACCTATTACCTTCTAGTTAATTCTGACTCATAGTGACCCTGTAGGACAGAGTAGAACTGCCCCATAGAGTTTCCAAGGAGTGGTTGGTGAATTTGAACTGCCAACCTTTCAGTCAGCAGCCAAGCTCTCAACCACTGCACCACCAGGGCTCCATTCTTGCACTAAAACCAAACCAAACCACTGCTGTTGAGCTGATTCCGACTCATAGTGACCCTATAGGACAGAGTGGAACTGCCTCATGGGGTTTCCAAGGAGCAGCTGGTGGATTCAAACTGCCAACCTTTTGGTTAGCAGCCATAAATCGCCAAGCTCTTAACCGCTGCGCCACCAGGGCTCCTCTTGCACTAAAATAAGGCTAGATAAGAACCATATGCACCTGTTCGACTTACCTACAATTTCAACTTAAAGACTTAAAGATACAGTTAGGAATGGATCTTGTTCGTAACCCAAGGACTGTACTATGTTACATACTATGAAAATTAAGTATAATATAAATATAATTATTTGTTTTATTAAAATAGTTTTAAAAATCTGTAGAGAGAAAATAAAAGAGGCTCTAAAATATACCTGTACACGGTAAGAGTTGTTTCATTTGAGAAGTATTCCTTCCTTGATATTCTTTTCTATTTCAAAACTTAAAAAAATGTAATTGGGTGAATAGTTCATATAAATAGCATACTATTAATAATATATTAATAATAAAATTATTTTGTGTGATTTTTCATTTATAATAATTCCCACCACTACATAAAGTAAATAAAGCATAATCTTCATGCAGAGGTTTAAAATGTAAGAGGATATGGAAACCTTGAAAGGATTCAGAGATGGTTACATTATGATTTACAAAATGAGAGTTATGCAGAAAAGTCAGAGAATGTGTGGGAAATTTTATCTTAGGAGGGAAAAAAAAAACAAGGGGTGTTAATGTGTCTTTGTTAATTGGGATGATTTGCTTAATCTAACGGAACTTTGAGAGGATCCTTAGAAAACCACAATAGGGATATTGCTGGAAGTAATACACAAACTTTGTTTTTTTTTTAATTGAAATAGTGACTGGCCCTTCTTTTATTTTGATTGCTATTTTTCATTTCAAATACTGATAATGCATTGATAAACAGTATTTTCAGGGTAATTGAAGTGAGACTGGTTCAATTTCAGAATGAACTGATAAAATTTAAAAACAGTGTATGGTTTTCAAACCTTTCCAAAGTTAAAAAAAAATACATACATACACACATATAGATGTGTGTGTATGTGTGTATGTATTTATTACTCATAATACACCAGAAGATGCCATAGTACACAGATCCTCAGATATCCAAATAAAATATTTTTAAAAAACAGTTCACTTGAAATATTTTAAAGTATTGACTTTTCTAAGTATTTGGCAGTAGTTGGAAAAAATTGCATAAAATGGCAAAATATTTCTTCTTGTGAAAAAATACACTTAAAAATTTTTGTTAAGTATTCTAAGCTTTACCCAACTGAATATAATTTATATTCCAAGTACCAGAAAGAAGTTTTGAAAAATTTTTTCTGTGATGACATTGCTGTTGTAGTCTCTGCACTATAGACATACTGAAGAGCATTCTTGGAACATTAATAATAGATAAAGTGTGGCTTGCAGTTTCATAACTACCTTCATCTTCTATATGATACTGTTTACACTGGATTTCTAATAAGATAAGCACATTTAGATACCTGTTCTGAATGAAAGTAATTTGAGAAATGCAAACAGATACACAATTGTCTCTCATACAGGTATATACAGTTAGTCTAATTAAACAGAACATACAAACAGCCATGAACAAAAGCATTCACTTTGAAAGACATTTTGTTCTCTTTAGGAATAGACTGCTGTCTGTATTTCATTAGCCAATAATATGTCACATGGCTAACCCAAACTGCAGATCACCTCCTGGAACAAAATTTCAGTCCAGTTAGTAAGAAAGGTAGGATATATATAGGGCACTGGCATGCTGCTGCTTTAAGGAAACATAAAATGTGGCCTCCATTTCCACTGATCAATGTGTGTCTATGCGTTTTGCCTCTTCATTGCAGTCCAATAGGCATTGACTTCAGGGTAGGTGAGGGGATGTGGGGAAGTGGTAAGACCTCAGAAGGCCCAGAATTTAATATCTTATACAAAAAAGAAGAAAGCTTGAAGTGAAGAAGGACAAACTCTTTGTCAGTAACTTTTAACTCAAAAATTTTAAGGTGGAGGGGGGAATCTTTCATGGCAAGTGTGTACTTCCTGTCAATAAATCAAAGATGATTTAACTTCAAGAAACATCTACAGCATGGTGGAGGGAGAATGATTCAAAGTACCTAGTTCACTACAAGCAGTAGCAAGACAAGAGCTGAAACTCTCTCCATGGCAAAGTGGTCTGCTACAGCAGTTCTAAACTAGACAGGGGGATATAATCAATTTAGATAGAGAAAAAGAAAGCTGCTGTTAGAGTTTCCTTGAGAAAGACATGTATTGTTTTTATGACAGTAAAAATAAAATTTGCTGACTTGACATGGTGATCTAGAAATATAAAATTTTTTTTTCTGTGTTCCATATAGGATATGGTATTGCATTTACTAAAAATATTTTACCCAGGCTCTGGACAGTGGTAACAAGAAAGGAAAGGTGAAATTTATCAGGCTGTCTTGACCCTCTCATCAAGTTGAGGTCTAGCTATTTTCATATTTAAATCAATGTTTATCTTGAAAACCAACAGAGGGATTTGAGACACAGGAGAATGACATAGTATATAGGCTTTACTGAAAAAGAAATGCTTAAGTCTTAAAACTACTTAATTCCATATATTCCAATTATTTTGCCTCTTATGCATGCTAACCACACATGTATTTAGAACATTAAAATGCTAATGGGTATAAAACAAAGACTAGGAGTATAAATATGTATAAAGTGTTGGCAAGCCAACATTTGACATATAATTATTTTTAAGTTGATTAAAGCATGAAGATTTCAATGTCTGTTTATAATCTTTTTATCTACTGTTTTATTAAAAAAAATATTATTTCCATGAGCATTTCTTATTGTAATGGTGTTACTCTCTTTTACAGGAGGGGTTCAAAATGGGACTAACACTTGAAGGCACAGTATTTTGTCTCGACCCATTAGACAGCAAGTGTTGATGTCAAGAACAAGAGGTCCTGACTCACGTTACAGTTCTTTTATATGCATATATGTCATTATTACGCTGTGACAGGTATTATAAATGTGTCAATATATTTTTGAACATTTCAATTTTTTGAAAATTATTTCAGTAAAATCTCCTCATACATTCACTGTTGATTCGTAACATTTTTTATATTAAAAACAATACACTGTAAAGTAAATCATAACCTTTGTGTTCCTTTTTTTCTGTTGTAAGTAAATTTATAATAGACAGACAAATTATCCAAATATCTGTCATGTGTTTGAGTTCTAAAGAATTAGCACCTTTGAAATTTGTGTTTATTCTCCAGGCTGCTAATATATTATTGATTTCCCAAAAGCCATACATTAATGATACCTTTTAAAGTCCTGAAGTGGTAGACCAATGTTAAACTAAATACTTTCAAACCGATAATCATGTGACCATTCATTAGACATGTCATTTTATCTACTTAATGTTGTTAACATAATCCAGAAAATGTAAAGTTTGAAAATGAATGCCAAGTCACTAATTTTTAGCATATACAATAGCAAGAATATAAATTCCAATAACAAACCATTTTTTAGAGTATTTATTAGTAAATGTAAGGTAATTATGTTAGTTATCATTATTAGTTGTAGTCTATGTATGTTCATTTGTTTCATTAATAAAGATTGTGGAAAAACAAAAATTTGCTACTTATGAAACATTTAAAATCAAATTGAATTTCTAATGAGATAAGCTGCATTACTGCATCTAACATCATCTGATCTGATGCGTCCTAAAAAAAAAAAAAAATGTAGATATGTGCTGTCTATAGTTGCAGTGTCTATTACTCATATTTACTTCACAAAATATATTTCTCTGCACTAAATAATGACTGTCCTCTGGTATTTTCTCCCTTGATATTCTTCACCAAAGTTTGTTTTGTGATGCCTCATTAGTTTTGATTCTTTAAAATCTATGGCAACTATTCTTTATGAATCCTCCGTATTATTTAGCAAACTTAACTTGCATTTGTTTTACTGAATTCAGAATCTTATTCTTCACAAAAATAAAGTTGCTGCTGGATTTAGTGTTTAACATGAACAGTAAAATTTTCTTGCATCTCATTTTTGATGTGATGATAGACACTGACCTTTAAATATGTTTCTGTACCTTTGCTCAATATGCTCAGTTTGTACTCAGTGCAAAAAAAGTATGGTCAAAGTTTCTAATTTGGTTCATTCCATTATAAAACAAATAAATTCATGAAAATATGAGATTAATTGAGGATAGCCCTCAAAAATATATTTTTCTTTTGTTCATGGAAATTTTCTTCAAGTGTTAAAGATACATTTTCACTACTAAAGAAATCAAATATGCTTATGCAATATTATATTTGTATGTTTGTCCAAGATGTTTTATGGCATATGTAAGCCTTCTTGTTTGTTTTGTGTCATCCGCTAAGATGTACCTTAATTAGAAGGTAGCATACGTTTCATAAAGAAGAGTCTTTATAATTTTATTTGTCATATAGTATTTTGGAATTTGTATAATGAGGATGTTTAGAAGCCGTATCAATGGCTTTTTTTAACAGATAGAATTTGTATTTTTATTGTACTTTAAAAAGCTTTATGTAATAGTTATATATTCAGTGGCCATTTATTATCAATGGTAACACATAGAGTACTAAGTATTTGCACACTTAAGATATGTTTCTTTACCAATTTTTAATAGTAATCAATTCTGCTGCTGGCATGATTAAATAGTACATAATTGGTCATTAATTATGAACACTTATTTCGCCAGTGCATTTTTATGAAAATCTGGTTGAGAATTGTATTTCTATGTAATCTCAATGATATGTTTGATTTTGCGAAAATAAATGTTTTTAAATAAATTCAATTGTATAATTTGCTCATTGAATAATCGCTAATTAATTTAGACACTCTGAAGTTAATTACATGACAAACTTTCCTGGTTGAAAAACTGGGGCCAAAAGATAGATGGAGAGAAGAAAGAGAAGGCTTTACCTTTAACTTCATTTCTTACAGCTCGCTCACACATATTTTAGTTTCATGAGCAAATACCATTCAGTTGTGAAAACAGTGGACTTGATCCTGCTGATGAGAGAGGTCATAATTTGGTTTCTTTCACCAGAAGCATCTGGTGCAATAACTGTATTATGTAAATATCTCTTCTGAAAATTAAGGGAACTTTTAGCCTAGTAATAAAGATTTTCTTGGCTGATAATATTAAAAACTGGACTTTATAGTAGAAGTTGGATTGTGGCTAGTCATACAGTCAAGAAGTTTTGTACCTATTCAAAACACGGTGTTATGTGTTCTAAGAACACACAGGACATGCATGCACAGCTGTTGCTAGTCAAGGAGCAATTCATCAATTCATTCAATAAAATTAATTTACTACTCACTATGTGAATGACATGTATTATATGGATAAGAAGACATCTAGTAGGTCAGGTGAAAGACATTGTTAAAGATGACAGGATCAATGCCTTCAGTTAGCATATTATCATAAAGGAAAAGTAAGGCAAGTATATGAATTAATAAAACCAATATATATTAAAGTACAGTGTAAAGCAAAAACTTCCCTGGGCACATTTATGTTTAACTTTGTTTAAATATGGGTACCTAGCATTGGTAAGGAGTCCTGGTGATGGAGTGGTTAAAGCGCTTGGCTGCTAACCGAAAGGTCGGGGGTTCAAATCCACCAGCCACTCTGCAGGAGAAAGATGTGGCAGTTTGCTTCCGTAAAAATTAACCTGTTGTGGTTGAGTCGATTCCGACTCATAGTGACCCTATAGGACAGAGTAGGACTGCCCCATAGGGTTTCCAAGGAGCAACTGGTGGATTCGAATTGCTGACCTTTTGGTTAGCAAACAAGCTCTTAACCACTGCACCACCAGGGCTCCTCCGTAAAAATTACAGCCTTGGAAACCGGATGGGGCGGTTAGGACTGTCCTATAGGGTCGCCATGAGTTTTAGCACTGGTTGAAACACACTGCCATCCGGTTGATTCTGACTCGAACTGGATTTGAACCACCGACATTTGGGTTAGCAGCCGAGTTCCTAACCACTAGTATCTATCAGATCTCCAGTTTGAGGCTTATCAGAACAGGCCAGTGTCAATAATTTTCTTCATCTCTTCTTGTTTCTTGTATTTTGGACTTGAATTTTTTTAAAACAGTTCAGTCAAATTATGGGAATTCATTTTCAGATGGAATTTCTGATAAATTCCTTGTTACATTTCTAAATACTGACTTTTTTTGTAAACTCTTTTTGATGTCATTTAACATAACCATGAAAAAAACTGGCTGTTAATATTTTTCTGTTCCAATGTTTCCATATATAGTTCCAAACTCAATATTTACTTATGATTTTGGATTTCAGCCTCTGTTACATTACTTGAAAAATCTTGGACACAATTTTGACAAGTAAATCTCAGACTCCACCCAAACTCCACCCTTTGGATGTAGCTAACACACTCTTGTGATAGACGTGGCTGGTATTGCCCTCAGATCCCTGTGCCTCATACAAGCGCACAAACTTAAGTGTCCTGCTCTCCTTCCTAGATAACCTGAAAGAAATCTCACACGGACTTTCCCGTTCAATGTCCATCTCATAAATTTGACATTAACCTTAATTTTTACAGACGTATCCCTTGTTTTGAATTTATGTTGTTAAGGCCCAAGGTAACCCCTTCCTGGAATTCCCTCCCCAAAGCAAATTTTCTCTGGAATTCATCCAAAGTGTGACCATCACCTCCTAAAATAATTTATGGTCTTCTATTTCTTTGCTTTATTATGAAATATGGATATTATCCAATAGCAGAAGGCATTATCTTTCTCTGGATTCACTTCTTCTCACTCTAGTTCATGGATTCTAAAACACAGTACTTCCAAAACTGTAGGTAAATAGCGTAAGTTTAAAGGCTCATTTCTCTTTTTTTTTTTTTTTGACATTACATGATAAATTGAAATAGCTGAATTTCTTATTTTTGCAGCACTAACATTGTGTTTTGTGTAGGTTGATAGTACTACCTTAACTGTATAACCAAAAATCTGCCGAGATTTACCTTGCTTTATTTATGTTAGCCGCCTTTTTGGCATTCCTTCAGATACACACTGGAAATTCTTTGAGCCAAACCCTTCCAATTTGTAAGCAACTGTACAGGCACTTCGGAACATGCATTAGGGCTTTCAAATCTTGCCCTTTTCATTAAAGGGAATCTGGTATGAAACTGTACACACTGGACGTAATTTAAGTTCTCTTTTAAAGGACGTTCGGAAATTCTATGGCATTTTCTTGTTACCTTGGACTTTATCACATTATTACTATATTCTGCAAAAGTCAATACAATGCTGTTTTGCAAACTTTTTTTTTTGTATTTTTATTAAAACTTTTTCTTCTCCAACCATCTTGAATGAAGGATGGCCTTGATATTTTTTTATTCTCCTTGGCGCTATTTATCAAACTCTATTTATAAGTGTTGGATAAAGGGTTGAATAGTTTTTTAGCATGCTTATTTCAAACGATCTGAGCTAAATTCTTCCATACTCTGTGAAAAAAAAAAAGGCAAATTATAAACATCCTTGGGTGTTCCAAATGGTCAACATACTCGACTGCTAACAGAAAATTTGGCTGTTCATGTCCACAGAGGTGCCTCTGAAGAAAGGTCTGACACTCTGCTTTTGAAATATCAGCCATCGAAAAACCTGCAGAGCACAGTTCTACTCTGATATACATGGGGTTGCTGTGAGTAGGAGCTGAGTTGACAGCAACACTTTTTTGTTTTTATAAATAAATGTAAGATAAAGATAACAGTCAACTCCCCACCTTTTCTTCTCCAATGAAATCTTTCCCATTATTTTAACTTTTCTCTTTCTGCAGGAATATAATAGTTATTGTTAAATAAAGCTTTTGATAATTGTCTAAGAGCCCTAACAACCACCATAGAATCACAGACTAAGAAAATCTGACTTAATTGTCTGAG